TAGTTTCTAACTTTCTATCTGCTTTTGTGAGTGTTTTTCTTGTGTTTCTGGATGAGACCAGAACCTATGTTAGAACCCTGGAGTGGTATTTTTAATTAGGCAAAGCCTCGATAATTATTTTTTTTACACATTAATTTTCCAGGATAAGAGTTGTTATCTTGCCTCGGTTTATTTCTAAGCTCAGCGCTATCTCAGGTATACTGCCATCCCCCTGGGATACCACCCACACTAGTCCTAACACCAGGTATCTACTTACTGATAGGTGAACAGGTGCAGCAGGTGTAAGGAAAAATGCCCAACATTCGACCCATGCCGGGGATCGAACCACAGACCAGGTAGTTCATGTACAAGCTTCCAGTGTTTTGCAAGGAATACTCGCTGCACCCTCAACAATAACAGTACCTGAAGACAAGTCCCAGGAAGCTGGGATATAAGAACATAATACTGAATTTCGTAACATTACAGTAGGCCCATTAGCTTATGCTAGGCAGGTCTAATTCACATCCACTCATGTACCCGTCCAAAACTATATATAAAGCTACCCAAAGTTGTCTCACTGCAGCTACCTGGGAATCTGTTCCACTCATCCACAACTATTTATACCAAACCAGTACCTCTCAATATCTTTTCTAAATCTAAGTTTGTCCGATTGAAATCCATTTCTGTGAGTCTTGTCTTGGTTAAACACTACTCGCACGCTATTTGTATCCCCTTTATATAATCAAATTGCAAATTTGTACACTACAGCCATATCTTGCCTAAATCTGTCTTTGCAGAGAGTGCAAGTTTAGTGCTTGGAGTGCACCAATGTTCTGGCTTCTGCTGGCCACTACCACCACCTGCTGGACATAACACTGGTGTTATGTCCAGCAGAGTCAATCTCAGCAGGAATAGTCTTCTCTGATACTCTGCGTCTCTAGTAAACTCACAGACATGACCACTGGCTTGCTGAACCCACAGGCAGACATGACCATTGGCTTGCTGAACCCACAGGCAGACATGACCACTGGCTTGCTGAACCCACAGGCAGACATGACCACTGGCTTGCTGAACCCACAGGCAGACATGACCACTGGCTTGCTGAACCCACAGGCAGACATGACCACTGGCTTGCTGAACCCACAGGCAGACATGACCACTGGCTAGCATACTCTCAGTGGGTTGGGATCAACCAACAACTCATTCACTCTCACTACTACTCATTCCTGTTGTATCTAATGTGTTCAGTTCCTCACTGACTAAGCTTTCACCAGGAATTTAGTTGTCCTACATCTACAAGAAATACCTTAAGCAGGAGACAGACGTCAGGGGTCGCTCAGGAGAACGTATATAAGGTGACAATAAATTCCAATGGTCTAGCTTCTTGCACTATATAGGTAAATAATGGTAATAATGCTAAAATTACCGAGAAAATGTTAGGTAAAATGGACACAGATGCAACTAATGTGACACTTTTTTGTGGTAACGTTTCGCTCTCCAGGAGCTCGTGGAGAGCGAAACGTTGCCACAATAAAATGTCACAATAAACTTGACAATAAACCTGAATGAACATTTATTAATAAACACAATTAATGTAATACGAAACTCTAAGAAATAAATATTTATCCTTTTTCGTTTCAAGAATTTATAAACAACAGTATGACAAAAACAATCATTATCATTCTAAGTTGATGTCTAAGTTTTCACTGGTCATGCTTCTCAAACTTGAGGAAGACAGAGCACTGCTGCAGGCCTACTGGCCCATGCTAGGCAGGAAAATAAGCTGTATGTAACTTGCGTATATGGAGCTTATGAGAAGGTACCTGTCAGCGCATGGGAATGCGTTAGCAGGTAGCCGCTGATATGAGGTTGATAGCTAACCTCTGGCATGAGGTTGACAGCTAACCTCTGATATTAAATTGACAGTTAACCTTTGCCATGACGTTGTCAGCTAACCTCTGACATGAGACTGAGAGCTAACCTCTGACATGAGGTTGACAGGTAATCTCTGACATGAAGCTGAGAGCTAACCTTTAACGTGAGGTTGACAATTAACCTCTAACATAAGCTTACTCTCGTTGGGTTGTTGCTTCTTGTTTTATTTCCTTCAACAATATCACAATAACAATTACACTCATCATCATCACTATACTGACAGCAGCATCAATTGCTTTCTTCCAGCCCATCTTCCACGTTATTGTACCTCTTCTCCCCTTCCTCATGTATAACAAGATTATTTCCATTCCCCAGGTCTTGTATGATCCCTACAGCTTCAGCAGTTCCACATGAAAAATCTACCCATTCCGATATATATATATATATATATATATATATATATTTTATATATATATATATTATATATATATATATAATACATATAATATATATATATATATATATATATATATATATATATATATATATATATATATATATATATATATATATATATATATATATATATATATGACTTCCATCACAGGAGCACAGGTATAAATCGGTGCCTGGGACTGACTGGTGT